GGATAAAATCATCAGTCTGCTTGTGACCACGGCTACGCCTACAGCACATCAGCCGAAACGTCAAGCTGTGAGTACATAATGTAACTCATTAATAAACGTCGCGTTAAGACCCGTGTCTTTGTTTTAGTTAAGATCCCTTATTACCCACCGCACTACCAAACCACACTACCAGTAGTGTCGTGGGGAATATTTTTTCCCTTCTACACTACCAAGCCAGTAGTGTCGTGGGTAATTTATATGGGCCATACATCTTCATTCCCATCGACACTACTACCATAACTAAATATAAAATTTGTAAAATTTTGATTAATTTGTAATCATTTATGTTTATATGCAACCCTAACGTCTATTCAAATTTTCAGTTTGACGGAATTTACTGAAAATAAAATATTGCTTAAAAGGGCTTATGTAATAAAATCTTCATAACTTTGCGTGAAATAAAAAGAAAAATTCAATTATATTGACACCATAACTAAAAGTAAAATTTGTAAAATTTTGGATTGTTTTGTAATAAATTATGTTTATATGCAACCCTAACCTCTGTGCAATTTTGGAGTTTGACGGAATTTACTGAAAATAAAATATTACATAAAAAGGGCTTATGTTCATGTTACGGTAAATGTGATAAAAGTGAAAATTATGAATAATTACCTCATGATTGGATAAATGTGATGATTAATATGAAATCATTTATGTATGTAAGTATAAAACTAACTAAAACTGGGTGGCCCAAGGGCCTATTTGACACTTTAAATCAAAACATTATGTTATGGGCATCTTGGAAAAGTAATACATTTATTATGCAAGAAACATTCTAAACTCATTATGCCAAATTAGTAAAGAAGCTATGAACGAAAAGATGTATATAATTCCTAGAATTCATACATTTCCTGTAACATATATATTCAAAATGTACAAGTAAAGCGCTTTCAAATGATACCAAACGGCATATTTATCTTAACTTTATTTTTTACTCTGTATGGTTTGTCCGCTAGAGGGCGCCACATTAGATTTTGTGAAACCCCATATTATAGCCTATAACCAGCGGACAATTAAGACGCTTCTAATGATATGTCATTTGTCGAATTCTGATAATTAGTTTAGAAGTTACGAGGGAACAGATGAACATACACACATAGCCTGTCAAAATCATAACCCTCCTTTTCCTTTGCCGTAGTCGGGTAAAAATAATTTAATTTTTGTTTTTCTTTCACGCAAAGTTATATAGGTATAAGCCTTTTTAGGTAAAATTTTATTTACAGTAAATTCCGTCAAACTGCAAATTTGCACAGAGCTTAGATAAGGTTGCATACCTATAAACATAATTTATTACAAAACAGTTCAAAATTTTACAAATTTTACATTTAGTTATGGTAGTAGTGTCGATGGGAATGAAGATGTATGTTACCCACGACACTACTGGCTTGGTAGTGCAGAAGGGAAAAAATATTCCCCACGACACTACTGGTAGTGTGGTTTGGTAGTGCGGTGGGTAATAAGGCATTAAGATCACCTAGGTGATGAAAGTGGACTTCTTATCCGTGGGTGATCAAAGAACACCAAAGTATCGCCTGGAGCCCACTTTGATCACCCAGGTGAACAGACAATACTTTTTCTTTAGGCGGTTATCACACTGCGCCGCGCTTCGCCGCGGTACGCGGGACGACAGATTTAATCATTGTATGCAAGTACCTACCTCAGTTTGTGTAGAAAACACGCGCGGCACAACACACTGACAACGCGTCTGTGCGCGGGATTTTTTATATGTAATCATAAATGTGATAACCGCCTTACTAAATGGGAGAAGTGAACCCACCACTCAAACCTTCACTGTGCCATCGTTTTAACACCTTATCATGGGTATTTAAACAAACGTACTAGTGATCTTAAGTGTTACTTGATAAGGACCAGTTTCCATTGCAATTCCAATTAAAAGTGAAAACGGGAATTTTAAATTTTGTGCGTTTCTCTGATGTTACGGGCACTTGAGATTTATGTAAACCAGATGAATTTTTATACAAGTTTGGACTGTTGGACACAAACATAAGGCCAAGAACGATTCTTCACATTGGTGGATTGGACTATATAAACTTACTAGCGGCCGCCCGCGACTTCGTACGCGTGGATCCCGTTTTACCCCCTTAGGGGTGGAGTTCCGTAAAATCCTTTCTTAGCGCAGCCTCCGTCATCATAACATCTACCTGCATGCCAAATTTCAGCCCGATCCGTTCAATGGTTTGGGCTGTGCGTTGATAGATCACTATGTCAGTCACTCAGTCACCTTTTGAGTGTAGGTATGTATATTATTATTTAAATAGGTACCTACCTATTTAGATTTGGAGTCAATGTGTGGTACCGAATTATATTATGGTAAAAATATAATAAGGCCTTTCACACACGGTACCTTATTACGATAAAATAAGTTGATTTGGTTTGGATTGTTTTATGAACTTAACTAACTCACTTTTCGTCAGTATAATTTTCAAACTGCTTATGTTCATTTGTGGAAACTTTACAGGAGGAAATAAAAACAGATTATTTTTCATAGTTAAGGTACTAATTAAATAATGATGTACTAATTGAAATATAATGATTCATTATAATATGTCAATTAGTACCTTATACCAATATGATTTCAATTACTAAACGGAAAAATAAACAGTTTTTATTTCCTCCTGTATACTTTGCACAAATGGACCTAAGCAGTTTGAAAATTAGGCTGACGTTTTGTTACGTTCGTTATATTAGTTCGTTCGGACGGGACTATTCCATTCCCACCTCTCGTTCCCACCGCTGCAACTCCTATGTAGCCAGGGTCTACAGCTTGACCGCCAATAACCCAACCAGTGAAGGTCAAGTTTGTTCCGGGGGAGAGTTCGTTCGTGTCAGCCAAATGAATGATGTCCACTCTTGGACAAAGGCCAAAGGTTTCCCAAGTTTGCCAAGGATTTCCACAACAATTGGTCCTGCGATGGCCGCATCCTGGTACTTCCCGCGATGTTTACCAGATCGTTGGTCCACCTAGTGGAATACGTCTTTCTGCCTGCCCCTTGTCGTCTTTCGAGAATTTTTAAATAGTCCTTAACATACTGGGATTTTTGCCATGTTTGCTATTGATCGTTCGATTATCCTGCGATGCGACTCAGTATAGGATAGGTATAAAGATGGTCTTCTGACAGATCTCAGAATCCCCATATCCGAAAAGAATGAATTGTACTGCTTCCTACAAGCAAAACTAGATGGACTTGCGAGATTATCCATTGTCAATTTAATGTAAAAATATATACGAATAACTTACACCGTTTATATTATTGTTATAGATTGGGATCAGTGGCGTGTATCGACTATTCAGTCTTTATACAGTCATCAGACTATACAATTTTGTTGCAAAGTAGCCTGTGTTACAAAGAGATAGATAAGACGCTTCTATGTTGAGCTTAATAAGCCGTCGTTTAATAAGCTGACGCGCACTAATCAGTTGCAGTAGAAAAAGAAAGTAATGTGTAATAAAATAATTACTTATTTTTAACGAATTGATTTCTAGTTGATGAGTGATGCAATGAGTATGTATTTGAAAGACAAAAAAATATACGCGTTTCTTAGTCTCTCTTTTTTAATTAAAGGACTATTCCCACCTCTCGTTCCCATAGCTACAACTTTTGTATAGCCAGGATCTACAGCTTGACCGCCAATAACCCAACCAGTGAAGGTCTAGTTTGTCCCGGTGGAAAGTTAAACTGTCATTGGACTCGCAACGAAATTAATCAGAAGAACATAGGAGGAGTTCGAAGTTAAAATTCGACTTCCCTCCAGCTCCAGTGCAAAGCGGATGACAGTCGGGAAATGTTTGCGCATTACTGGCCAATGCCATAGGCCAAAGTGGGTGGCCAGTGGGTAATGTGGGACTCTCTCGAGAAGGGTGAGGGCCCCACTAAAACCCGACGGTGTCCTCCGGAGCCTTTTAAAACGGAGCCGCGAGTTGATGTCCTAACTTGGACATATTATTCTTTTATAATGTCCGCGGCTCCGTCTGAGTTTGGCTCGATCGACGGCTAAGAGGGGAATGGTCAATCCAAAGGGTAAATTCGCGATTTCGAAATTGAAAGTGTCACGATAACGAATGTTACTCTATTATGAAAAGACAAAACTTGATTGAAATTGAATACCTACCTCTTCGTCATTTTAATGTTGGATAGTCGACACGAAATTTTGCGTAGGTATTTTTCTCGAAAATATTGACATCATAAACTACCTACCTACTGTAGAATCCTATTTTTGAGTGGGAAAATCATCACAACAAAGGCGCGCCGATGTACGGTAGGATTAGGGTTTCGCTACTTCAATTCCTAGGGACAACTAAGAAAACCTATTGTTACTGGCCAAGCTTATGCTAAAGTTACTTTTTTGTTGTGGCCGAATTTCATTAATATTCTCGAGATATTCCTACTTACAAACATTACTTAATTAAGATTATTTCATAAATTGTGACAAAAAAAACAGTGGTATTGAGAACCTCCTCCTTTTTTGAAGTCGGTTAAAAACCAAGTTTGCGCCTGGCCTTAGATTTTGATTGATTGACAGTTGACGTAGAAAATTAATAAATTGTAAATAAATAAATGCCAGAATAAGTTAGGTTAAATATGGAAATACATAATTAATTACTGTTATAAACGTACAAAATAATTATCCAATAAGTTTCAAAACTTATTTCTTGTTCGAATTTAAATTAGAATAATATTAGATTCGTTTAATAAACAACTTTATAGCAAAAATAAGCATAAAATTGTCGGTCTGTACAAATACATTGTGAACTCAGCTGCTCAATGCACTCGGTCAAAAAAGTCCTCGAAAACCTTACGCGAAAAACCAGTTTGCAAAAAAATCTCGCGACTGCGAACCGGCGCGGTGTTTTTTACGCTTATTTGCACTAATTTAATCAATAACACACGCATCAAACGCTCACTGTGAACACGAAATTTATTAGCAAAAACATCACTTACCTTTTCACAAATGTGTCACACAAATAATCCGTGATAAAACTGAGAAAACAGGTGTTTTAAAATGCAATCGGAAAGCGCACTCGTGACCTAGCGGGCATTACCACTCGCAATGCTGCCAACGTGACCACAAACGTGACTGAACTAATTTGAAGTTTTGTCTGTCATTGTTGTGCAGTTGGCAGCGGTGAAAACTGATGTTGCTACACACTGAAAAAACTACTAATTTAACAAATTTAATATTAATTGACATAGATTTTTTTTTGAGATTTTAAATAAAATAAATAAGAAATCGTTTACGGATCTTCTCATTTCTGATTCGATCTCGCAAAGAAACACCAAGCATAGCCCTCTCCATAGCACGCTGTGCAACTTTGAGCTTCTATATAAGGCCTATAGGTGCCGTCCATATATTACGTCATTTTAAATTAGGGGAGGGGGGGTTGGTCTGCGGATGACGGTAAATGATAGATAGGGGGGGGGGGGGGTTTCGAAATTGTCGCCATACTTCTTTATTTATTTATAGTTTATTGTTCACGTACAAAAAGATTAATTCTAAAAAGAAATTTCTTCCAGCACACCTAGTAAGTGAAGTGAGACTGCAAATGTGAGAGGCGGCTAAGGCGCGTACAATACTAAAATAACTCATAATAAACATACATAATGCAACATAGATGTACACAAATACAGTAATAACTACAGATAAAATACTCTAACAATAATCCCAACTAATATTATAAATGCGAAAGTAACTCTGTCTGTCTGTCTGTCTGTCTGTCTGTCTGTCTGTCTGTCTGTCTGTCTGTTACGCTTTCCCGCTTAAACCTCGCAACCGATTTTGATGAAATTTGGCATAGAGATAGTTTGAGTCCCGGGAAAGAACATAGGATAGTTTTTATCCCGATTTTTGAAACAGGGACGCGCGCGATACAGTTTTTCTGTGACAGACAAAATTCCACGCGGGCGAAGCCGCGGGCGGAAAGCTAGTATTACATATAATACTAGCTGCCCGCCCCGGCTTCGCCCGTGTTACTTACATGTATTACTTACATACATACAGTGTGAGTCACGTTAAAGTGGGTGAAACTAGACCTATTTTTATCGACAAAAAAGAGGTAATTTTTTTTTTGAGATTTTGTCGATAAAAATAGGTCTAGTTTCACCTAATTTCATATGCACGTTAACGTGACTCACACTGTATAAACCTTCCTTAAGAATCACTCTATCTATTAAAAAAAAGGTGATTCTATAACCAAGTGTTTTAATTTTGTAATGACGTCAATTTTNATGACGTAATTTATGGACGGCCCCATAGTGAGAGGCCACGTTTCCGAGCCATAAGTTATCACTGGTAACACACATTGGTTATACCGTAACCGTAAACCGTACCGTAAACGAACCAAAGTCGCTGACATAGCCCGACGTATTAGCAAGCTGAAGTGGCAATGGGCAGGGCACATAGTACGCAGAACTGACGGCCGATGGGGCAGAAAGGTTCTGGAATGGAGGCCGCGTACCGGAAAACGCAGCGTGGGACGTCCACCTACAAGGTGGACCGACGACATCGTAAAGGTAGCAGGCCGCTACCAATCGATCAACATGGAAAGCATTGGGGGAGGCCTATGCTCAGCAGTGGACGTCCTGTGGCTGAAATGATGATGATGATGATGAAATAAGAAATGGAAAAGAAGAAAGAAAAACAAAAAAAAAACTACATAATTAAGTAAATACATACTTTTTAGTTACATCATATTTATATCCCAACTAATATCCCAACTAATCCCAACTAGTCCCATCCCAACTAATATTATAAATGCGAAAGTAACTCTGTCTGTCTGTCTGTCTGTCTGTCTGTCTGTCTGTCTGTTACGCTTTCCCGCTTAAACCTCGCAACCGATTTTGATGAAATTTGGCATAGAGATAGTTTGAGTCCCGGGAAAGAACATAGGATAGTTTTTATCCCGGTTTTTGAAACAGGGACGCGCGCGATAAAGTTTTTCTGTGACAGACAAAATTCCACGCGGGCGAAGCCGCGGGCGGAAAGCTAGTTAATTTAATAAGTAAGATATAAGTTTAAAAACAAATTATTGTAATACCCCAATGAAGTTCGTATCACGTCACGTTCATCAGAAATAATGTAGGATTGTAATGGTGAAATAATTTTTCAAATCGGCCCAGTAGTTTTGGAACATATTCCAATACAAACAAAAAATCAATCAAATCTTTCCTCTTTATAATATTGATGTTCGTCTGAACATCTATAATATTATAAAGACTGACTCGTCACTCGCACTTGGTCAGGTTTATAGTTTAACACTCAATAGCCTTAAGCACCTTGGGTGAATCATTCAAAATGAAAGATGATAGGAATTACTTGATGTGATTTTTGTATCACAACTTCACAAGTAAGACACACAATTATGAGTAATTAACTATAAAACTACAATAGCACTTAAATAACTGAGAAAGAATACGATACAAATCTTTGCATGTGTTGATGGCATCAACTTTATAGACAGTCACAGTTTCCACTACAATGGTATAATTTCCTAAGTTTTAACTGGCAATCATTTTGGTCATTTTACAACTCCCAAAGCCATAACATTCTATCATTCATTCAATTACCATTCGGTCATTGCTCCTTTGTTTGTTTTTGCTTTTTGCGCTAATGTCAAAAATTTAAAAACGAGCGGCTTTCAGTCAACGGCAAACGGTTTTCTTTTCTGATTGAAAAATAGCGTCTGTGCTTGAATTAATATTAATTATTGTGTGATATCTTTCATTTTGTGGACAATTCTACAGAATTATTGATTCTTAATTTGTATACGAGTCGAGTTCGTTTACAAGCTTTTATTTGTTAAATTTTAGAAACCTCAATTTAACGGGTGAGTGAATTCCAAACTTTTGTTTTCTATTTAATTAAAAATAAAGGTAAATATTAATTATTCAAACTCATCTTTAGTAGATTTGCCTTATGAAAATGCCAAGTAAAAGTAATTGTTGTATTTTTCGTAATTTTAAACCTATTAATTTGATATGCTCCAATTTGCCCGCGTTAATTTTTACATTGGATTTATTAACAATTGGCATTATTTGCCACAAATTGAATAATTCGAGCATAATCACACCGATATACATATTTAGAGAGCATGTATTGATATTACAATTTATTCTGTGTTGTTAGAGGTATTTAACTAAAAACTGTTTTCTGGTCTTTTTAGGTCCAACAAAAATGTCGTCGGTTGAAGACAGAATCCTGAAATTGAGAGAGGAACGCCTAGCTAGAGAGAAGGCGAGGATAGAGAAGGTATCAAACATTGAATTATAAATAAAATAAAAATCATTTATTTTCAGACAAAAGCAGTCCATAGTTTGTAATAATATTATTATCCAACAGTAAATTTTTCATTATAAAATTCTTTAAATTAACTAAAATTTCCACCTATTTACACCCTAAATGGTGGCTGTCTATGTGATATTTTTGGTCCATACTTTTATTTATTGGTTCAATAGGTTTTAATTTAGGTAAAAAAAATATTTCTCCATTAATTACCAAAGATCCTATCCTAAATACATCATGACTACTGGCTCAAGGTCCTTTACAAAAATAGACTGATAAAAATTAATATTTTATTCTTTCTGTTTTAGCTTCGAGAACTGAATCTGAAAAAATACCAAAAGAACGAACCCCAGCCCCTGAATTCCGTTCAGCATAAAACATCGAACAATATTAAAAACTCAAAAAGCAGTATACCAACTGCAACAAACGTCAAGAATGTGCCCAAAATGAAAAATAATTTTCACGTAAATGGCACCACGAAAAGACCCATCTCCGTTCCGCTGCCAACTAAAAAGCCGACTGTGAAAGATACTACATCAAATCTGAAGCCGAAGTCCTTGCCTGTGCTAAAGAAAGATGTAGCACCCAAAATTGGTAACGATAAGCCTTTGAATACAATCAAAAAACTTAGCAGTATTCCTACAGTTACGGACAAAAAACCAATAGATATTAAAAACAAAGAAGCTAAGTCTGTAAAATTAAACGTAAACGAAAGAGATTCTCGGAAAACTCTGGCACCTAAACCAGAGAATACGCTTCTAAAAACAACGTTGCTGTCCAGAAAAAGTGTACAGCCAGAAAAAACGGATAGCAATGCGAACCCTAAAGAATCCGTCTTCGATAGACTGTACAAGCCAAAAGCAGTTGCAAAGAAAGTAACTGACGATGTTAAGAAATTGCAAACTGACCCGAACTATCTCAAAAAGGTCATTAAAGACTCTGGATTAATTCTCAATAAGAGGCACACTGTGTTTAATGTGAAAACAAAGGTCGACCCACCTGTGAGACGGTCAATATCAGCAGTACACTTTAAGCGTATCAGCAAAAGTGAGATGGGAAATTGCATCCACAAGTGGTCATCAATCGGTGAGAAGCTAGATAAAATACATCTGAATGAAATCAATGAAGATGACGCTGTCAAAGAAGACAAAGTCATATCTGCAGTCAAGAGTGAACGTAAAAAAGTCAAATTTCAGACTCCAGTTCCGTTTAATTTCAATACACCAAGACCGGAAGAGTTGCAAGCAAGGCTAAAATCCTGGTTACAAAAGCGAGGAAAATCTTTAGACTCGTACCACCATTTGCAATGTTTCGGCATCCATCATATCAACCAGAAGATCAAGCCGATCATAGAGCCTCCCAGATTTGAGCTCTACGACGATGAGGATAAAGAGAATATTGCTGTGGAGAATGACAGTGATAATGACTCGTTTACTGAGAACATGAATGATTTGGACACAAAGTGGAGGAGGGCTAGCAATATCAGTGAATATCCTGACAGTGTGGATCTAAACGATACTCAAGAAAGTATGGTGACGTCAAGCGATACAATGTTCCACGTTGACGAAGTTCTAGTTGGTGCGCTGAATGATTTGACTGATTTGCTCCGTGAGGTACTGATTTTTTATTACTGTTATCCTACTTATTATTTTTAAAAGCAAAACATACTGAACGTATTTTTATGAGACTATAGTATTATTGGCTATAATAATAATGTTTAAGCTATTACAACAATATTGAGTTTGCTTGCAATGTGTGTGCTAAGTAAATATCAAGAGTATTTTTTTACTTGAAACAATCGACTTCCTTTGGCGACTGCTCTGACTTCTGAGCAACTGTTGTTGGGTAATCAATCAATACTAGAGAGTTTAATAACTAACATTCATATTCACAAACGATGCTTGCTCAAGAAAAGCAGCAAATCAAACGCACAGCTTTGAATAGAGCTTTGTGATTTTTTCGTGTGTGACCCTGTGCGTCCACGCGCACTGTGAGACCTCATAGTAATGTTTGTGAATACGGGCGTAAGTGTGATGTAAATCTGTCTTTCTCTGACAAACTGAATTATTAAGCTAAAGCTAGTCAAATATTCAATGTGGATGTACGGTCATTCCAGGGCTTCGACTGGGAGCAATGCGCCCGCTGGTTGCGTGCCCTCCGCGAACGTTTCCCTTACGCGGCCGATACCGCCTCGTACTGGGAGTGTCGTGCTGCTTTAGAAGAGCGCCGCGGAGACCTGCCCGCTTCTGTGGAGTGCTGGGAAGAGGCTATCGCTAAGGGCACCGAGGTAAAAGCAAAATGAAGTAATATTGTGAATACTTTTTCAACTGGATAGACTGTAGGTAAGTGGTCGGCGGCTTGCTGCCGTTAAAGCTGTATAGAACCACCTCCACTCTTCCCATGGTTGCTGTAAAAGGTGACTGAAACTTCTAGTCCACTAATGCAGAGAGGAATTGCAGTCTATGTTTCTTCATGAACGGAACTAGGGTGCGAATATGCGATGAATGCCTTTCTCAGCTCCTGTGTATAAGTAGCTATAGACTGTTTCCCTTACGCGGCCGATACCGCCTCGTATTGGGAGTGCCGCGCGGCTTTAGAGGAGAGGCGAGGAGACTTGCCCGCTTCTGTGGAGTGCTGGGAAGAGGCTTTCGCTAAGGGGAGTGAGGTAATGACCGAGATTTGTCATCAGGTTGCTTACTAAAGGCAAAAGGGACGAGGTCGACCGTCGAAGTGAAGCAATAGAGCGGAGCGAGGGATTAATGTAAAAGTTCTATTTAAAAGCCTATTTGTAAAAAATAAATTAGTTTTATGAGTTTATTTAATGCGGAGCGGAGTTGCGGAAGACATAGATAGCAAATCAAATCAAATCATATATTTTGCGAAAATGGGTTTACATCAGTAGAGCAGAGCGGAGCAGTAAAGTATGCAAAATAAAGTTTCGGACAATCTCTGTAAATTAGTGTAAATAGACGCAGAACTAGCTACCGGAGCAGAGTTGCATATCGTTTTTTCCATATTTCTACGCGGCTGAAAAGGCCTCGTACTTGAAATATAAGGTAGGTAAGTATGTAGGGACGCACCATGGCCTAGGTGACCTCATCAGAGAAGTGCCGCAAAAAATGGGCCAGGGCAAACGGTCCGCCAGCCCCAACCTGTGGGATTTTTTAAGATGTCCTGTCTGCGTCAGGACTCGAGCAAATGCGGAAAGAGAAATATACGTAGGTATGTGGAGACGCCCTCACTTCCATGAAGCAATTGACCTACGCCCTTGCTGTGAACTCTGTCTACAGGCAGACTGTTCCTTTTCTTGTTTAGTGTATTCTCAGATTGTCTCCCTTACGCGGCTGAAACGGCCTCGTACTGGCTTTGTAAGAGAAATAACCGTTTTATTTTATTTTCTATTTCTTCCAGCGATCCGTAGTAGAAGCCAACCTGGACCAGCTCTTAGACAAGTTCATGCAGCTGAAGATATCTCCCACCAGCGGCAAGACCAAGCGGGCTGACCCCAAGATGGTGGACGTGAAGAATGTGTTCAAAAGCACCATCATCAGGTTCGCTGTGCAGCAGGCTAAACTGTGAGTAGATGTAGTATCTAGAAATTAAATCATCATCATCATCATCATCTCAGCCATAGGACGTCCACTGCTGAACATAGGCCTCCCCCAATGCTTTCCATGCTGCCCGGTTGGTAGCGGCCTGCGTCCAGCGCCTTCCTGCTACCTTTATCAGGTCGTCGGTCCACCTTGTGTCGTTTTCTGGTACACGGCCTCCATTCCAGAACCTTGCTGCGCCCCATCGGCCGTCAGTTCTACGTACTATGTGAAATTAAATTAAATAGTTTATTCAGTACATTCATACATACACGTCCCAAATATACACTCGCGAGTAAAACTATGGAATCACTTACATGAAGATGTTTCCACGCGAACTTGTGTACTAACGAATTTGTTAGTAACAAAAAAAGTGGCACCATTTTAAAGATTATACTTTTATCTTTAAATTGATACCAAATTCATTTAAATCACACCAGTATTAAAAAAGATATCCCGGCTGATGTGAAGAAGTAACGAAAAAGACATGTATGAACTGTTTGATACGTCGCGAGTTGCGGCCTATTTACCCCCTATAAAAGCACGCGTTTTCGGATTTTTGCTTTCACACGTTGATTCATACACATCTCCGCTTCTTTTGACACTTTACCTGGGATTCTACACCTTCAGAAGCAGCACAAATCGTTGCACTATTGCAAGAAGGGATCAGCCAGCGGGCTGTCGCACGTCAGCGCCACATAAGCCAGTCCTGGGTTTCGAAAGTTTTAAGACGCTTTCGGGAGACTGGTGGCTTTATCCCGAGACCAAGTTCTGAACAGCGCCGGCGCACATCGCAGAGGGAAGACCGTTTTTTCATGTCAACCTCTCTATGAAATCGTCATTTGACTGGAATCGACGTCCAGTAAGAGCTCAGAAATGTTCGTAGGATAGCTGTTAGCGAGTAGACAGTTTGTCTAAGACATAAGCAATAGAATTTAACTCCAAAAAGGCCTGCCACAGGCTCGAAACTGACGGCAGGTCACCGATAAGCACCCTTTCAATTTGCTCGTACACATCTCGATGGGAAGGCGAGTAATGGAGGCGAGTTCTGTTCTCCGATGAATGCAAACTGTGTTTGCAGGGCAGCAGTCGAAGAGGTCGGGTTTATAGGCGGCCTGAGGAGCGATTTGTGCAGTGCTGGTTCGCTGAAACAGTGGCTTATGGGGGTGGCTTGCTCGACTTAACATCGAGATGTGTACGAGCAAATTGAAAGCGTGCTTATCGGTGACCTGCCGTCAGTTTCGAGCCTGTGGCAGGCCTTTTTGGAGTTAAATTCTATTGCTTATGTCTTAGACAAACTGTCTACTCGCTAACAGCTATCCTACGAACATTTCTGAGCTCTTACTGGACGTCGATTCCAGTCAAATGACGATTTCATAGAGAGGTTGACATGAAAAAACGGTCTTCCCTCTGCGATGTGCGCCGGCGCTGTTCAGAACTTGGTCTCGGGATAAAGCCACCAGTCTCCTGAAAGCGTCTTAAAACTTTCGAAACCCAAGACTGGCTTATGTGGCGCTGACGTGCGATAGCTTGCTGGCTGAGCCCTTCTTGCAATAGTGCAACGATTTGTGCTGCTTCTGAAGGTGTAGAATCCCAGGTAAAGTGTCAAAAGAAGCGGAGATGTGTATGAATCAACGTGTGAAAGCAAAAATCCGAAAACGCGTGCTTTTATAGGGGGTAAATAGGCCGCAACTCGCGACGTTTCAAACAGTTGATACATGTCTTTTTCGTTACTTCTTCACATCAGCCGGGATATCTTTTTAAATACTGGTGTGATTTCAATGAATTTGGTATCAATTTAAAGATAAAAGTTTTATCTTTAAAATGGTGCCACTTTTTTTGTTCCTAACAAATTCGTTAGTACACAAGTTCGCGTGGAAACAACTTCATGTAAGTGATTCCATACTTTTGCTCGCGAGTGTAGCTTGCCCTACCACCACTTTAGGAAAACATATTATTATGGGATAACCGTCTTTGTAGTTATTTAGTAGAATAATAATAATTAATAAATAGAAAAATAAGAGTTCTAGGTACATTCTATGCTAGTTAACATAGGTCATAGTTTTTTCTAGCCTGAAATAGTTAATTTTAAGTTAGTTATTACGCTAGTCAATAAATGTTATTTATTTAAAAACCCATAGTAGTCAGTAATGGTTTTTATAAAGGTTAATAGTAATTTGTATTGCTATAGCCTCGTTAACCCCTCGTGGTAAGCTTACTATCCTTGTGTTACTACGACACGAGAGAGTTCAATAATAGTTATGATAAATTAAAGTACAAATTATTAAGCAATTTATTGAAATAAAAATCCCCAATACGATACTTCAAAGTCGTCCAGTCAGTCTCTTTTCAAGTCAAAAATGATCTAATATATAAAATTCCCGTGTCAAATTTTGTATACAACTATTTTCATACACCTAAGTGCAAAAGTTTGCTGGGTCAAAGTCAAAGTCAAAATTTCTTTATTTGTTTAGACTAATAAATAGTTCTTACAAATCGTCATTTTGCTCTTAAGGAGCCTCTACATGTCTCATAATCTTTTTACCCTACCAGCGCTTCGAGACCAACATTTGGCAAGTGCTGAGAAGAAGCGCCGCAACAAACTCAGTCACCACTGTCTGCCGGTTAATATAAATAAATAGAAATAGCAGTAGTAGGTACATTCGATTCAGGAGCAGTTCACTGAATTTACCATGCATTCTTATATGGTGTATCTTATAAGAATGGGTATACAAAATTGCGTGGCATATTAAACATGGTAGTAACGTGCTAATATCTACACTTACAGATTAAGATATTTAAATACTAGTAGAAATCAGCTAGTAATGTATATCTTTGTCCGCAGTCGCAACTCCAACTCGAATTCTACCGAGCCAGTGAAATACACAGTGACTCCGGTGAGGCGAAGCGGCCGCCTCAGCGTGCCGGGCAGCCGGGGCAGCGTGTGTTGGAGCGGGAAGAGGGCGCCTTTACAGGTAAAGCCTGGTCCGTGAGCATGTAGAATCCCGTCCAATGACCCCAAGCTACCCATCCTTGTCGCTCGCGCGTAATTATGTTGCTGTCGCGCTCGCACACTCACTGCGGGCGCCCGTCACACAGTCGCGACAGCAATATAATTACGCGCGAGCGATAAGGATGGGCAGCTTGGGGTCATTGGACGGGATTCTACGTGCTCACGGACCAGGCTTTAGATACATACTTCAGCTACCCTAGTAACTAAGTATTCGCATATACTTTGGTGTTTCTTTGCATAGTTCAGTGCAAGACTTCGCTCCGCTGTCAAATCTACTGCTACTGATGTAGCCCGAATGTTTTTGCAATGTATGTGGCTCAGGGATAAGTTTAACATCTGAGCTACGCTATTCGCGAAGTTGATTGATGTAGACAGTGTGAGCACGCATACATCATCATCGGTGGATCATCTGGTGAAGGTCGCGGGAGAAGCCTGGCAGGACCAGTCTATATGGAAATCCTTGGGGGAGGCCTTTGTCCAGCAGTGGACGTCTTTCGGCTGAAACGAACGAACATCATCATCATCATCATCATTTCAGCCATAGGACGTTCACTGCTGAACATAGGCCTCCCCCAATGATTTCCACATCGCCCGGTTGGTAGCGGCCTGCATCCAGCGCCTTCCTGCTACCGCTATGAGGTCGTCGCTCCAATTTGTAACATCTCATGTTACGTCTTTTCAAGTAAATACGTATCTATCTAAGTTCAATACCTCAGCTACAGTACTTGCGAAGTGGATCGAAGTGAATCGAAGTAGTACAAACACGCATTTCACTTCGCTTCGTTCAACCTCACCTCATTTTGCCCGACTTCATATTATTGCTCGGAGTGCTAACTTCGTTACTTCGTCGAAGCTGCAGGTAGATACAGGGTGTCCCATGTCGGGTGTCTGGTGTTTGCACGATTTCTCCTTGTATGATTAGTGAAGTTGAATAGTTTTCGAGCTTAACTTAAAATAAAATTAAATTGATTGAAGAACTAGAACGTGAAATATAAAAAGTTATAAATGACTGTTCAGTTAATAATGAAAAACTCAGTAAAACTCATTTATTTCTGTAAGTAGGCTTTAAAAAAGCACTTTTACACGTCCCAGTATTAACCCTACCACTGCTTCAGGACAATAAATGGACCAGTGCTGAGAAGAAGCAGCGCAAGAAACTCAGACACTATTGTCAGAAAATTATAAATTATTGGTATATATTTTTTTATATCAGTAAAATTCAATATTTTACTACTTATGGAAAAAAAGGTTTCAATTTTAATAAAGGCTAAAATAATAACCTAATCCTTTCTTTCCAGGTATGCAGCAGTGTTCGCCGCGCCGACGTGCCCGGCCCTTTGGTATTTGTGCCAAACGACAAATTGTGCGAGTCACCCTAAAGCCATCTTAAATTAAATTTATTTCGTCTAAGAACTCTTATAGTAGGAGCTAGTGAACGCCAGACCTACGTCATTTTATAAAAACTGAAAGTTTGTCAGCGTATGCTCCCAACATAGGATATAATGTTGGTGAATTATGAAGTTTGGGTCATGGTGGCTTTGGGAGCTACCCTAAAAAAACTGTCAAAACTGTCTGGCTGTTGGGGAAAATACTTTTAATTATTGTCCAAATATTATACATAAAATCTGATTGAATGGTAACTTTCAGCTTTTATAATAATGACGTAGGTCTGGCGTTCACTAGCTCTCAGTCTATCGATCCCATGGCAATCCAGTTTAGCTTGATACAGTAATGAAGGATCTGTAAAACTCGACACTCGTCTGAACACACATTTTGAAATGAAATGAGAATTACAAATTCTAAAGAATCAGTTTGCGGGACACTACAAACGGAATGTTCGTGTGAACGTTAATATTAAAACACGTATACTACTAAACGGAATCCTGCAAAAAACGGGATGTCACCGTGGGAATAAGTCCTAAATAAACTCTATTAAACTCGATTCAAAAAGCATAGATTCAGCCTCTTGCCTTCTTATAGTGTGAATCTACACATTTTTGTCGTCGAACAAAGACGGATCGATGACAGGGTTGATAAAAAGGCACGTCTCTGTACTGCGTTAGAATATCAAATCCGTGTGTTTAAATATAATAAATACACACACACACAGGCTTGAACTGACTTTGAATCGAGTTAGAGCTTCGTTTTATAACCTTTATGTTTGATAATTAACTAAGTTTTTTATAAAGTAATTAATATATTCTAATAGTCTAGAGGGTACTATTATTATTGTCTCTACGTCTCTCTTCCACTTTGATGGAAACCTAGCCTAACAAAAGTATCCCCTGTGTACAGTTCACATAATAATTAATATAATATTATGTTAAGTATTTGTTAAGACACGGGCGAAGTCGCAGGACGATGTATGTTACATAAAATAAGTCTGATCAAATGCTGTCGCATTTTAGACTGATCTGTTAGATGAAAGCCATTTTAGGCTTAAAAGTTTACCGAGGAGGTGATACTTCCACCCACAAGATGGACCGACGACCTCATAAAGGTAGCAGGAAGGCGCTGGATGCAGGCCGCTACCAACCGAGCGATGTGGAAATCATTGGGGGAGGCCTATGTTCAGCAGTGGACGTCCTGTGGCTGAAATTAAGATGATGAGGCATTTTTTCGATATTCACGATAACTTATCGTCGATAAGCCAATGTATTTGTCGACTAAAATCGTCGATAAGATTTTATCATGGCGTGCATCCTAGCCCAGCAATTTGTGGATGAAGTTTTTATTAATCGCCGTCACCATTTTAGTGACGATGATGATGATGACAAGTGTAGTGCTTCTAAAGCAAAATTAATTTTAGTGGACATTAGCTTTACTTAGATTAGTTATTGCTATTATAATCAAGTTATAAGAACACTTCTAAAATTATGTTTAACCAAAAATACGCTTGCTGATTTTTCATTATTGTTTTATAATGTCATTTTGTCATATTACTATTTTTCATTATGAAAATATGTGAAAACTGTTTTATTTTCCATGAACTTTTTGTAGATATTAATTTCGTATTTCGTTAACATTTCACTTTTATGCTATGTACAGTCAGCTTCAAATAGTTCGGGACCCCCAAAGTGGCCAAAAAGTTGATAATACAACCTTATTCTATTGTAACAAAGACCTTTTGCGAACTTTTTGGCTACTTTGGGTGTCACGAATTATGTGACACTGACTACAGGCGAGGGCACATACAATTATACATTTTTGCAAATCAAGACCTTAATACAACTGTATAAAAATGCCAAAGGGTTAAGGTTGTAGTGCCATCGTCTGAAAATTAAGGGTCTAGCGCTTGAGGTAAGGTGTTTTTGTAACGTCAAACGTCAGCAAGACTGACGCCCGTATTCACAAACGATGCTTGCTTTAAATAGAGCTCTGTGATTGGTTCGTGTGTCACTGTGCGTCCACGCGCACTGCGAGACCTCATAATAATGTTTGTGAATATGGGCGTGAATCTTCAGATTTGATAGTCTGTCACGTCATATTTATGTCAATGTCTTCGCTCCCATACCTCAGGAACTGACCGAGATAAGCGTTAGACTTAGGTATAACTTTCTTTCTTGAATCATGGAATATACAGAGCTATTGTAAATAATTTATTTTCTTGTATAATTAATATTATGTTACTGTTTTTCTTCCTGTTTCTTTTTATTGCAATAAAGTATTGTATGAGTTTGATTGTTTGATTTTTTCATCCCACCGAACTTATGTTCTTATGTGATGTGTCGTAAATTATTACAGTGAAGATGTTTTCCGAAAAATTAAAAACTCGAGTCAATTAAAAAATATTATTTATTCATTCGCTATATCACAAAATACTTTGCCGTTGTAAAAGTACAGTCGTCGCGAAAAACTATGAAACATTCATTCACTTTCATCAATGACTGTACTGGTTCAACATTCTTAAAGTATTTAAAACAATAATTGCTATAATAGTAAATATTTATACATACATAATTAGTTTAATTGACGAATAATAATTAAAAAGAACTTTGATTATAGGCAATTCCCCTTTATGGCAAGAAAATATAACGCTTACATTAAAAATTACATATTTTTTGCATTGACATTTATTTCTAATATTTGAGTAAGAAAGAGATAAGCTATGTAGGAGAACTACCAAATTAGCTAATCAAAATTACAAATAAAATAAAATTACCTATTTTCAAAATAAAAATACTGGTAAAATTCAAAGTATCACATATCGTTTAAAGATAAAAGTTGCACTTTAGGGGTTTACAATTTTTTACATATTTTTTGTTATTAAAAACAAAATGTAAAAATAAAAATAATAAGAAGTAAGTATTGTACAGTCATCGTCAAATAGTTCGTGACACCCAAAGTATCCAAAAAGTTCGCAACACGTCTTTGTTACAATTTGAATAAGGTAGTGTTGTCATTTTTTGACGCTGACTGTAATATTAAGAGTAGGCGCACACCGTTGATTTTTAGTTGGCCGATAGTTGTGCCCGATTTTAAATTGTATGAAGAATTGGCCAAATCGAATCGGCGTAGTGTGCGCACTCCCATACATGCCCATACTGATCAACTGCCCGACTAAACTATCGGCCGACGAAAAATCAACGGTGTGCGCCTACTCTAAGTGACAGGCTGGCATTATTTCTATCTACATTCAAAACATAAATAAACGTAATGATCATGAACTCTAGTAAAGTCCCAATACTCTACAGGGTGGAAACGATAAGTGATCTCACTCGATTATTTCTAAACTATACAAGATATCAATAAACTGGTTACTGATCCTGAAAGTGCTTCATGAGCTCTATCAAACGGTATTAATAATAGGTTACAGAATAAACTGGATCTATCCGAAAATTCAATGTTTTCAGCTTCCATACATTTGGTAAAGTCACATTATTTTAAAAACTACACAAGATATCGTAAAACTGATTTCTGATTCTAAAAGTGCTTCACAAGTTCTATCCAATGGTATCAATAACAGGTTACAGAATAAACTGGATCTATCCAAAAATTCAATGTTTCCTTCTTCCATACATTTAGTACTACCACAGTAATGACACTCATCTCTTGACAATATTATAGCAAGTAAAGCCTAAAACCAATGTTTTCCATGAATCATTTTAAATAATAATACAATTTACGAGTGTATTTTAAGAGTTTATTATTAAATAAAAAAAATTACACTTCTAATATTGTGTGTCTGGCATACATTTAGTATGGAAGCTGGAAACATTGAATTTTCAGATAGATATAGTTTATTCTGTAACCTATTATTGGTACCGTTTGAAAGAGCTCATGAAGCACTTTCAGGATCAGTAACCAGTTTTTCAATATCTTGTATAGTTTAGAAATAATCGAGTGAGATCACTTAACGTTTCCACCCTGTATATTGGTAGAATTTCTATATTAAAGTCAAGCCCAGGCTTAAATCTACTCTCAAGTGTAGATTGCGTACTTACTTGAAAACCGTTTCAGAATACAAGCTTATTCCATATGATGGTAACATAGGATTTTTTAAAATATGTATTAATCGAGATAATCATATGTAATTGACAAAAATCTTAGCTCATTTTTCAATATAAACAATAGTTAGATGCCATTTTTTGTGCACATTTTTATATCAAGCACCAATTTTAAAATTATCAAGTACTTCTATACAATGGCGACAATATCCGAAATATGGTATACAAACGATTTAATTATTATATTCACTAATAGCGTTACGTGCGAATTAGTAACTGAACAAAACGTGCAAGTATTAATTTATCACATCATAGTACAGTCAGTACAAATAGTTAGTGACATCCAAAGTGGGCAAAAAATGACAACACTACCTTATTCCAATTGTATCAAAGACGTGTTGCGAACTTTTTAGCTACTTTGGGTGTCACGAACTAGGTATTTGATGTTGACTGCACATAACTTATACATGCTAAAAATGGAAGCACCCAATTAAAATGCACCATGCGTATAATTATATATGAATTGACAATTAATTGATATTAATTATTAACAAGCTAGACAAGTCTTTCAAATGTATATTGCACAGCTACAAGACATTTAAGTAAATAAGGCATTAAGTACGATCACCATAGTATAGATCGTTTCATCCACGAAGACGCGCCCCACCATTATTCCGCTAATGTTTGAGTGTTATCGGTACACGCTAAATCATCCATGAGTGCACACGCACACTAAAATAATGCCTTACGGATTGCTCGGATCAAACTCCCCGCACCCCGCGCGACCGAGACCAAAAAATGGTGGGGCGCGTCTTCGTGGATGAAACGATCTATATGCATTTTGTGTACATTTAATTAAAGTCAGTATTTTTGTTTTTATATTCTAAAATTGTATTTTTGGACAGTTATTTATTAGGAAAATTGGTTTACCTTGACATTTACTAAGATAATTATACTGACTGACTTACTTGTATGAAACAATAAAGGCACAGTTATAGAAGCTACGTATAAAAATCACTTTTTTGCTACGTATAAAATTCAGTCAGGTTTTATTTGTCTGAATAATTGTATTGTAAAGTGGTAGCAAGTCAATGTTGGATTTTATCCATCTAATTTGGAGCCTAATCTTAAAGACACAAAGTTCAAAATTCGAGAAAATTTTGGTATGTACCATCGGCAACAGTGTTAACTATGCATTGCCTGTCATGTCGTTTCGTTCTATCGCAAAGAATCACCATTTGATGAGAGCGAGAGCAAAATTGGAAATGGATAGTTAACAGTGTGGCCGTGTGTACTTGCTACCGATGTTAAGTATCGAATGAGACGAAGTCTTAATTTTAATTGTAAATTGAATTACAATTTTTTTGTGTATAATGTAAGTCACTAGACGTACATTTAATTATTTTTAATTATTTTTAAAAACAATTGCTCTGGTATTTTTTTCAAATTCGGCAGTAATAAATATAAATCGAATACATTTGAATGAAATACAAGATTTCATACAAACCCTATATAGAAATATAAATATGTGATGTTAAGTATTTATCATAAGTACAAAATTGACAGTTGTAAGTACTCAATTTAAGTAGCTCATTAAATATAAAATAACATTCTCTATTATAATTCGAGTAACGATAAGAACGAAAAGGCTCTCAAAAGTATCTAATTTTTAGTGTTTTTACTCAATAAGTGTTGTTTGAAATACACTCGACAGCAAATAAATCGCACCTCCTGCGACAAGCACTTTCAAACGTATGCATCCCCACTTCCTACCAATATTGGCACCATTTAAAAGCCTAGTTCTAAACTTCATTTCATTAAAAGAAAGGTTTTTACCCCCAAAAATGTGTCTTTTGAAGGATCCAGGGTCACTTCTTCAAAAAATAGGTAGTTACGCTTGAGCCAAATTTGATGGCTATAAAACTGTTAAGTTGGGATTAATCGCTATGAATCTGTTAAAGAGGATACGTGTGATCATTATTTGGTTTTATAACCATACAATTTGGTCTATTGATCCCAGAGCTGAGCCCAAGGTGAGGTCTTTTTTCAAGTCCATTTATGGTATATGTTAATCATTTATTAAAAAATTAAATGTGTTTTTATTTAAGGATATTTATTGGGCTTTCAAATAACACCAATATTGTTGGGGCACCATGATTGTGTCAAAAGAAAATCTTTAAAGTTCGCGTCGCGGAAGGTGCGGTTTATTTGATGTTGAGTGTAGATCGCCTTATTCCTGTAATAATAGTTTTAAAATTATGTCTATATTATAGATCTACCGTTTAACTCAGTCAGTGCCTGAGGTATGGGATCGGCACAGGACATATTATGACGTGACAGACCTTAAAGAATGAAGATTTGAAGTCTTGCTGACGTTTGACGCTATAAAAACACCCTCCCCTGCCGCTGCCATACCTCAGGCACTAACTGACTAACGCCCGTATTCACAAACATTACTATGAGGTCTCACAGTGCGCGTGGACGCACAGGGTGACACATGAACCAGTTACAGAGCTCTATTCAACGCTGTGCGTTCGATTTGCTGCTTCACTTAAGCAAGCATCGTTTGTGAATACGGGCGTTATGCACTAGCTAGACCTATAATAACTTTTTTATTCCTATCACTGGGTCTGGTATACAGCCTTATAAACAATGTTCGCTATGACGCGCTTCTTTCGCTGCGATGATAGCAAACGCAAAATTGCAGATGGCGCTATCTTTCGATTTATACGTCAATAGTACATTCATAGCGAAATCTAATGTCACCTCTTTAAGTTTGTCTAAAGCCCGGTCTGTGAGCACGTAGAATTTTGTCCAATGACCCCAAGCTACCCATCTTTATCGCTCGCGCGTAATTATATTGCTGTCGCGACTGTGCGACGGGCGCCCGCAGTGAGTGTGCGAGCGCGACGGCAACATAATTACGCGCGAGCGATAAGGATGGGTAGCTTGGGGTCGTTGGACAAAATTATACGTGCTCGCAGACCAGACTATACATAAATATTGAAAACTTGCGATTTCAAATAAATGATAGATATTAAAAAAAATCAATTGCAACAGCAAAAAATAATCATTCGCGCAAAATTAAATTCGTGATACATAACATTTAAGTATATGGTAATACTGATTTGTATAATAAATACCAGAATCACTGGTAGATGGAATGTCGAATAGGATGTAGATTTCTAAGCATTTTTCTTCTTTAACATATTTTTGTAGCTCTGAAACAAAATAATGCAAATAAAGACAGTGACAATAAAGTTTTTATTTATTTATTTATTTATTTGTTTAGTTTGAAAATCATTAATTTTGTACCCCTTACTCTCAGTTCGGCCCGAAGGTTAACTGAAGGAGAATGCCAAATGGCATTAAGTTCGGCTTATGTACTGTATTTTATGTGCATATGAGTCTTAAATAAATAAAAATCCCTCCATAAATATTATATTACGTTTACGCTAACGTAAGTATTGAAAAAACAAAGCCCATTGTGGTTAGTGCGAGTTTGCATTGAACGTCAACGTAAGTAAGCGAGTGCGTCAAAAAAATCTATGAAGATTTTAGTTATTGAAAGTAACCGCTAGGGGCGCTGTACAATCCGTCATAATTATGTCATTTTTTACGCAGTCGGTAGCGAAGACGTTTGTTTGATGTAAACTCGCAACATGTACAATAGGTAAATATATCTAGCGGAATAAAGCAACAAAGAACTGAGCGAGCGAGATGTCACTAGCAGCAACACTGTGCGATAAAAAGAGATGCATGATGATGCATTTTTCTAACTATTTGACAGTTCAGAGGCACGCAGTGGCACGCTGAAAATTTGAACTCTGATATACGTATTTTCAGATGTTACGTGAGTGAAATCGTGGATGTCTATGAAAAAACTGCTTCAGAAACGTGATGACTGTTTCAGTGATTGATTTATTGTACAAAACAGTGAAATAATCTTGACGCTGAAATACCAGTGTCATGCAAAATTGGTTTCGTTTGACAGTTCGCAGTTGTTGCTCTATTCCGAAGGTATATCATCTTTATGCACTAAGCCCCCTGTATTCAAATATTGCATCAGTGTGAGTATGTGTTCGCCTCAACTCTCGCAGGGCGAGCTATAAATAGAATCTTGTAAAAGAACTTACTTCTTCAGCCATTTGGTAAAGCATGGCGGCTGTCTCCCGACCAGTCTGCTCCACCAGTGCCTTGAATATGCCCGTGCATTCTTGGTCGTTCGATTCCGACCTAAAAACAAAGCAATATGACGTCTTTAAGGTCTAAATTACAAAACAACGTTCGAAACTTGATTCAAATTCAGTATAGTTGTTGCAATTCACGAAGGCGAGTGAGCTTTACACGTGTGGTGGCTCGCTACTGTTCGTGTTTCAAAAGTTTTGACAGACATTACACTATCGTTATGTGCATGTACACGTACACACACAAGTAAAGTTCACACGCCTTGCTTCGTGAGTTGCAAGAACTTAATAGATGCTGTCCAACCTCCGCAGACAAAGTGACGGTTGAAATTTCGAATTCGCTTCGAAAAATGTCGCCCATTTGTAAATGGATAATTTTGCAAAAACTGTTCAAAAATGATTTCCATAACGTTTGTGAAACTTTGTGAGGAAAACCTATGGGTACTACCAAAAACATATTATTTTGACCAGGGATGTTATAGATATGAAGTTTCGGTTATGGATGCGGTTACGGATATTAGAATAATATTATGCCGGTTTCGGTTACGGTTACGGATATAAAATCATTTATCCGAAAGTTTCGGATAATTTTGGTTACGGATTTTAGAATTTAAAAAATGTAAAATTCATATGGCAAGATGCTGCGCGACCCATATAGGCACTTTATGTAGGTACTATGAGGGCACCTATGATAATGGTAAAACAGGCGGGGATATCCGATTGTGTCAGGGAATGCCAGACAAGTAACAAATATTAAAAAACACTAAGATTTAGACTCCGCCTTTATCCGAAACTATCCGAAACTTTTGAATGGGTTTCGGTTACGGTTACGGATATTTTTTTATTTCGGATATCCGATAGTTTCGGTTACAGTTACGGATATCCATAACATCCCTGATCTTGACATCACTTAGATAAAATAAGTTTTTTAACTTACCTGTTAGAATACGTTCGCACTCTTTCCCTTGACAATAGCACCGTCTCGTTCTGATCTTCGAGCCTCGGTTCAGGGTCGTACGCGAAATTTTCTGGAATGGCTAAGGGTGCCTGAGGGAGAAATAATTTATTAAGAATAAATTGTAACAAAATTAATATTTTTGGAAGACATTGGGAGAGGTCTTTGTCCAGCAGTGGACTTTCTGTTGAAAATGGAGACCTATACTGCAGCATACCTGCTAATACTTCAAGGGGGCATTTGTCCAGAAATTGACGTCTTCCTGCTGAAAAGGAACTTTCTTTTTTCTTCAGCATACATCGGATAGTAAATATCCTAATCCTTAAAAGGTATTAGGCCAGCAGTGGGCGTCTGTCTGCCAAAAAGGAAGACCTATTCTATAGAATACATGTCCAGTTATTGGATATGGGACTATTTCCACCGCTGCAACTCCTGTGTAGCCAGGATCTACAGCTTGACCGCCAATAACCCAACCAGTGAAGGTCAAGTTTGTCCCAGGGAAAGTTAAACTGTAATTTCTTGGACAATAAAGACCTCACCATTTTGGTGGGTTTTTGTCCAGCAGTGGACGTCTTTCTGCTAAAAAGAAAAGCCTATCACTTACTGACTACATACCCAGTTCTTGGATAGTAAAGACCTCACTCCTTTAAGGTTTTGTCCAGCAGTGGACGTCTTACTGCTAAAAAGCAAAGCCTATCACCAGTAGATGATATGTATTCAGTAGAATACATACTCAATTCTTGGATAGTAAATATCTCACTCCTTTATGGGGGTTTTTGTCCAGCAGTGGACGTCTCTCTGCTGAAAAGAAAGGCACTAATTCTAAGTACTTACCGAGCTCTTGGATAGAAGGGACCTCCTAAGCGGTACCGCGTCAGGTTTGGCCTGGACGTTGGACTGCGTGAGGAGTTCGAAGGGATGTCCTGATTCCACCACTCGGCCCCTGAGATATGAAAACAGAACACAAGATGTGGTTTTGTATCCCAAAACTCAACGTATGAGAAAAGTATACAAAATAGTGTCATCAGTTTAATAAAAAAAGTTACAGCTTATAATATTGTTTGCTATCTTTAACAGCTCGCACACTCACTGCGGGCGCCCGTCGCACATTCGCGACAGCAATATAATTACGCGCGAGCGATAAGGATGTTGGTATAATATATATATACATATATATATATAAGGTATAGTATAATATAAGGTAGCTTGGGGTCGTTGGACAAAATTCTACGTGCTCGCAGACCGGGCTTTAGGGACTGGAATTCGCTGCCTGCTGCTGTCTTTCCTGAACAATATAATCCGGGCCTTTTCAGGGCGAGAGTGAATGCACTTACAGGGCAGATATGTACCATCCTAGACTGCATCCACCCTATAGTTACGCCACTGAGAATGAAGTGTGTTTGTAAAAATGCTGTACTTTGGAATTTTATTGTTGAATCGTGTAAATAATAATAACCAATTTTGTTAATTCAAGTCTTTGCAAACATCTTGACACACGTCTAATGCCCGTTTTCAACATCAATCCCTTATTTTTAAGTGATCCCTATGGTAACGCATAACAGGCATTTTGTTTTCATAGGGATCACTTAAAAATTAGGGATTGATGGTGAAAACGGGCATAAGACTGGCAAATGTTTCTAACTTTCTCACTTTAGTCTATGGAAGAACTCACTTGTCCATGACGATGACTCTGTCGTAGTCCATGACGGTATTGAGCCGGTGAGCGATGGTCAGCACTGTAGAGTCGGCGAACTTGGTTCGGATCGTCGCCTGGATGTGCTTGTCTGTCCTGGAACAAGTATTAAACAGGTATAATTCGGCACGGGACTATTCCCACCTCTCGTTCCCACCTGCAACTCTTGTGTAGCCAGAATCTACAGCTTGACCGCCAATAACCCAACCAGTGTAGATCAAGTTTTAATTAGAAGAACATAGGAGTTCGAAGGGTTCGACTTCCATCCAGTGTAAAGCGGATGATGTTTTCATCACCGCATCGATACTAACCGCCATCTATTATTAATAAATTCAAATTCTTTATTTGCTTATAAATAGGGTAAATACATAAGTGGTGGATGGTATTTTATAAAAGTGCAGTCCTATTTAGCCAATGTCAGTTAGCATGCAAATTATAGATTAGGTAAATGTCGATTGGTATTACATGTATATTATTATTAAAGTGAACTATTTGCTTTAATGGAAAAAATGGCGTACCTACAAATTGATTTTGATTATGATTTTTTCTAAATCCGCTCGAATCTCATACATCGCTTTATATTTTCTCAATTTAACCATTTGAAAAAAAAGTTAAGATTCTGATCTATAAAGAAATATCAATATTTTCCGCAATTAACCCTTTTAAATATCATATTTCAAGGTTTTTCTTACTCAGTGTCCACATTGGCAGTAGCCTCATCAAGCACCAAGACAGTGCATCCGGTCAGCGCGGCCCTAGCGAGGCAGATCAACTGTCTTTGGCCGGAGGAGAGGTTTCCACCACCATCGCCGACTTTGGTGCTGAGACCGGCTGGCATGTTGGTCACCATTTCTTGGAGTTCCACCTGGGAGGAAAGAGTTTTGGCTTCATCATCATCATTTTAGCCATAGGACGTCCACTGCTGAACATAGGCCTCCAACAATGAATTCCATATTGACCGGTTGGTAGCGGCCTGCATCCAGCGCCTTCCTGCTACCTTTTTAGCTTACTTACTTATTACTTTTGCCCACTAAAGCCTGGTCCGTGAGCACGTAGAATTTTGTCCAATGACCCCAAGCTACCCATCCTTATCGCTCGCGCGTAATTATATTGCTGTCGCGACTGTGCGACGGGCGGCCACAGTGAGTGTGCGAGCGCGAAAGTAACATTTATAATTACATTGGACAAAATTCTACGTGCTCACGGACCAGGCTATACCTACATAGTTTGACGAAAATGTAAAGGGAGAGAGTTTAATGTTAGAATGTGAGTTTCATGCCCGTTTTCACCATCAATCGGTAATTTTTAAGTGACCCCTAGGTTAACACATAACAAGAATTTTGTTTTCATAGGGGTCACTTAAAAATTACCGATTGATGGTGAAAAACTGAAAACGGGCGTCTGTCAGAGAAATCAGTGAGAATGTGACAAGAACGTGATTTAAGAAAACTACATTTTCGTTTTCAGGATGAAGTAGAATGCAAGAGGATGTAGTCAGAGGAGGATGCAGAAGGATGTAGTTAGTGGAGGATGCAAGAGGATGCAGCTGGATGTAGTCATGTAGGAGGATGCGAGAGTATGTAGTCAGTGGAGGATGCAGGAGAATGTAAGAGGATGCAGTCGGTAGAGGATGTAGTCAGTAGAAGATAGCTTAGTATGAAGGGCAAACGGGACTATTAGTAATTGTTGTGCAATAACAAACTATTTACTAATGCAGTCAGTTGAGGATGCAGGAGGATGCTAGAAGCTGTAGTCAGTGGAGGATGCAGGAGGATGTAAGAGGATGCAAACGGATGCAAAAGGATGCAAACGGATGCCAACCTGCGCGAGCGCTCTGTGGATCTCGGCGTCGCTGTGCCTCTGCTCGGGGTCCAGGTTATCCCTCAGGGGGGCCGCGAACAACGCCGGCCGTTGTGGCAGCGCGCACAGTCGGGACCGCCAGATTCGCAGCCCTGCCTCGTCGGCCGTCACGCCGTCCACCTTGACTGAGCCTGTCACGTGGCTTAACCTAGAACAAATATAAGACACGATTATGTCAAATAATCTAATTACTAAATCTAGTTCTATGTATATAGGAAGTTCCTATATTGGTCTAGCTAGAACTAGTTCAAGAATGGCGAAGTTCAGAACGAAAACGTTAAGAACGAAAGATTTTTTCTTGTATAGTCTGGTCCGGGAGCACGTAGAATTTCGTCCAATGACCCCAAGCTACCCATCCTTATCGTTCTGTNACGAACGAACGAACGAACTAGATTTTGCTTTTCAATGAAGAATTTTTCAGTGATGGTTGGAATATTTAATAAAAAAGATTTTGAATAAAAATGTTTTTTCTAAGGCGATTATCACACTGCACCGCGCTCCGCCGCGGTACGCGGGACGACAGATTTAATCATTGTATGCAAGTACCTCAGTTTGTATAGAAACACGCGCGGCACAACACACTGACAACGCGTCTGCGCGCGGGATTTTTTATATGTAATCACGCGGACCGCGGCGGAGCGCGGTGCAGTGTGATAATCGTCTAAATGTGAAAGTAATTATTTTGGAATGAAAATAATATTAATAAGGAATAATTTTAGACAAAACTTCAAACTATAAAATTGCTGGTTGTAGTCTAGTATAGGTTCTCAGTAACAATATTTCAAAATCAAATCCAAAATATTTTTATTAAGCCTTCCATTAATCTGACTTTTCTTAAACTTACAATTATTCTTGCAGATATATGGAAGAAAACCCTCTCAACACTGGTGATGATGGCTCAGACATAGAAATAGAATACGATGAGGATGGCAACCCCATAGCTCCCCCTAAAAAGAGGTTCATTGACCCACTACCTCCTATAGACCACTCTGAGATAGTGTATGAGCCATTTGAAAAGAACTTCTACACCCCTCATGAGGATATTGAGAAACTTACCCCAGAGCAGGTTGAGGAGCTCAAGAAAAATTTGGGAGTGAAGGTAAGTAAGAGCTAAGCTTGACAATACATGGTGTTAACTTTTATTACTAGTTTTTTTTTTAATAATTACTCTTAATCTCTATCTATAAAAGTGAAAGGTCACTGACTCACTCAGTCATCACGAAATCTCTGAAACTACAAGTACTACTAGGAGTCTAAAATTTTGAGCGCTGGTAGGGTAAAAAGATTATGAGACATGTAGAGGCTCCTTAAGAGCAAAATGACGATTTGTAAGAACTATTTATTAGTCCAAACAAATAAAGAAATTTTGACTTTGACTTTGACTTTTGAATGGGGGTTCCTTTTAGAACGTAGGTGCTAACAGCTCACTAAGACGGGATTTTACGAAACTCCACTGCTAAGAGGGTAAAACGGGATCCACGCGTAACGTACGCGCGCGGGCGGCCGCTAGTAGTCAAATATTTGTTATACCCTGTTGGGTTTGGGTGCCCAACTTGAGTTTAATAAGTTTTGAATATCATGGTTTTAAATATCCAATAGGGACAGAGTCCCCAAGAAGATATTCATTAAATTGAAACCAAGCTCTTTATTGTCAACCTAAGAACTTTATCAACGATTTTAAACAAAGATTATTCACAGAAAAAAGTGTTTATACGCTGAAATATGCAAACAAACTTAGCACCATTAATGATAAAAATAAATGTGTTTATCCTTCCACTAGATAACTGGCCCAGACCCGCCAAAGCCAGTGAGCAGTTTCGCCCATCTTGGCTTCGACGAGCAACTCATGAAGGCGATTAGGAAATCTGAATATACGTCACCGACACCCATCCAGGCGGCTGGCGTGCCTGCGGCTTTGTCTGGCAGGGACCTTATAGGTATGGGACATAAGGTTCATATTGCTATAAATCATGTCACACTACAATGATCAGGAAGAAGGAATGGTTATCCAATTCGTATAATGACGGTTGTTCGCGGTGTGTTGTGTACTTGTGTTGTGCAGTAGAGATATTAAAGTGTGCACTATGTATTTATATTGGACGATTTGTAAGCACCATGCATTAGAGGAATTTTGACTTTGTAGACATAGGATCATCTTGCAATAACACAGTTTTAGGAAGCCAGAACTCGTACACTCCTGCGCATTTATTGCGTCGTGTTTTTCTGTACCTTATAAATGTATGAGGCACAAAGTTTATTTTAAAATACCTGATGTGTGGGAATTTAAAAAACGAACAATAATGTAGATTCACAACCGCTATGAATGCAAACATAACTATTAGTTGTCACATTCTATTTCGAAATAATAATGCAAATAGTCAGCTGAGCACGTGACTTGGCAGTGGAAACAGTCATCAACAGAAAGAAGAAGAAGAATCAATTCCTGACTGTCACATTCTGGTTCTAAATCCGATTCAAATCCTTAGGTATTGCTCGCACGGGTTCCGGTAAGACGGCCGCGTTCCTTTGGCCACTTCTCATCCACATTATGGACCAGAAGGAACTGGCGCCGGGAGACGGACCCATAGGGCTTATACTGGCCCCTACCAGGGAATTGGCGCAACAGGTAACCTTATGAAATTGGAAAACTATAAAAATTAGCAAGTATAAATTAATTTTTAGTGTTTTTTATAAGTTTTAATTAATAGTCATTACATTCACTCTTCTCTTTAATGAGGTGTTAAATTCAGCTGATTTTTAAACTCTGTCATTTATTAAACATATTTTGCATTGATAAATATGTCGTTATACGTGTGCGTAAGCTCATTTGACTGTTGAGTAGTTTTAATAAAAAATAATATTTAATGAAATATTAAAATGCACTTTCTAGATTCAATCAGTAAAAGTTTACTTTAGTAAAATGCATTTTGTTTGTCAGATTTATATGGAAGCCAGAAGATTCGGCAAAGTGTACAACATACGATGCGTGTGTTGTTACGGTGGAGGCTCCAAATGGGAGCAAACCAAAGCCTTGGAAGGTGAATTCACTATAATAATTATGCTATTTACGCCCGATAAAGTTACAGCGAATATTCTTAACGTTTGGTACAGATCTTTAGGCACTTTCATTGATATGGTTCTATTCATGAATAAATAAATAAATAAATAAATGGTATTATTTTTTGTAGGTGGTGGAGCAGAGATTGTGGTGGGCACGCCAGGGCGCGTCATAGACTTAATCAAATGTAAGGCGACTAACCTGAAGAGAGTCACTTATTTAGTACTTGATGAAGCTGATAGAATGTTCGACATGGGTTTCGGTAAGTTTTCTATGGCACATATTGTTTAGAAAGCTTTAATATCTTTAAAATAAGTCTTGAATATAGATGATGATTAGGCTGCTACCAACCGGGTGATGTGGGAATCATTAGGGAAGGCCTATGTTCAGCAGTGGACGTCCCGTGGCCGAAATGATGATGATGATAGGTGACGAAACTACATATTATATACGAAGTAAAATGCATTAGATGATTAGATGCGTCATTTGAATTTCAAGTTTAAGTTACACGTTGGGCGCCAAAATTTCAAACTGGTACCCAACGTGTGACTTCTTGTAATTTGTTGTTTTTTGTGGTTGGTTAAATTATCTACTGGCTTATCGTTTGTGTCCAAAGTTCGTCCAATCTGCGCGCACAAGACGCCAAGTGTATAAGTGGCGCCCAACCCAACGTGCGATTTCCGGTAATTTGTCGTTTATTGTGTTAAAATGAACTTGATTAATGTTATCAACTGGTTTAACGTTTAATGCCAGTCAGAGCCTGAAGTAAGTTCGATTTACACTCACGTAAGCTACAGGTTGGGCGCCAAAGTGCAAAAGTGGCGCCCAGCGTGTCACTTCTTGTAATTTTTTTGGGGTTAACATGAAGTCAGAGCCTCAAGTGCGTTCGATCTGCGCGCACGTAAGCTACAGTAAGTAAAATTATAAATGGCGCCCAACGTTTGACTTCTTGTAATTTGTCGCTTTTGGGTTCCACTGAAGTTTAATAATGTTATCAAATAGCTTATTTTCTCTGCCCTTTGGAGCCTCAAGTGCGTTCGATCTGCGCGCACGTAAGCTACAGGTTGGGCACCAAAGTGCATAAGTGGCGCCCAACGTGTGACTTCTTGTAATTTGTCGCTTTTGGGTTCCACTGAAGCTTAATAATGTTATCAAATAGCTTATTTTCTCTGCCCTTTGGAGCCTCAAGTGCGTTCGATCTGCGCGCACGTAAGCTACAGGTTGGGCGCCAAAGTGCATAAGTGGCGCCCAACGTGTGACTTCTTGTAATTTTTTTGGGGTTAATATGAAGTTGGTTAATGTTCGTGCTTATCATTTGTGCTCAGAGCCTCAAGTGCGTTCGATCTGCGCACACGTGCGACCCGAGCGCCAAGCGCTGTTGTTCTCGGCGACGTTCCCGCGGCGCATCGAGCGGCTGGCGCGCGACGCGCTGCACGACCCCGTGCGCGTGCAGCACGGCGCGGCCGGCGAGGCCAGCGACCTCGTCACGCAGCACGCCAGGTCAGTCCCGGCCCCGTCCCGGTTACGTCTGACCTCGTCACGTAGCATGCCAGGTCGGAGAAAGATTCTGGAAACTTCAAGCCCACTACATAAATTTCATCGCTTATGTCTCCAAATTTGACCTACTCGTTCGAATTTCGGTTCATTTCTGGACAAAATGTAACTACACAGCATCTTTTCGGTTTTCATCGGGAAACTACGCAACATCTTTTCGTCCAAAATACCTCAGTGCCTGAAGACGAAAGTCTACAACCAATGTGTGTTACCAGTGATGACTTATGGCTCGGAAACGTGGCCTCTCACTATAGGCCTTATACAGAAGCCCAAAATTGAACAGCGTGCTATGGGGGAGGCCTATGTTCAGCAGTGGACGTCCTATGGCTGAAATGATGATGATGATAATGACTGGACAAAATGATTTCCATAACAACTGATTAGCACTGCCCGCATTGTTCTTTTAACAACCTTCACCCGATCGGCAGTCCACCGAGAGGCTTCCGTCCTTTAGTCGGTGGTCGTCACCCAAGAACTTTACCGCCCCAACGGCGGTTAGTTCTATGAGTTATGTGACCCACCTACCATTTAAGTTTACGTTACGTTTCAAATAATTGACATAAAATTCGTACACAGGTTAAATAAATAAATATTTTTTTGTACACAGGATATTCACCAAACCAGAAGACAAATGGACGTGGCTACTTAAGCATTTGGTGGAGTTCCTGTCAGCCGGCAGTGTTCTAATATTCGTCACAAAAAAGGTATGCTATATTAGGTAAATTTCATTGACTTTTTGCGTCTACGTCCTATTGATTATAAAAAGAAGTAGGATGGATTGTCATAATACTACCGTAAAGAGACACACTACTAAGATTAATAAAATAATATTCTGTGCCACGACATGCAGTGTCGCTTTTGTGCAATCTTTGAATGATCTCGACATAGAGTTTGTTCAGGCGGCTGTGAGACTGCTTGTCTATAAGCGAGAGACCCGTTTAGACCATTAGGGACGTGTATAAGTGTGTGCCCTGGAAAGTATTGAATAAAAAAACTTTGACTTTGAACACAGTTCTACCGATTAAACGTAACTACTAATTTTGTTTGTCATCCTCTTTGCAATGGAGGGAAGTCGAACCTTAATTTCGAATTCCTATGTTCTTCTTATTAATTTCGTTGCGGGTCCAATGACAGTTTAACTTTCCGCCGGGACGAACTTGGCCCTCACTGGTTGGGTTTTTATTGGCGGTCAAGCTGTAGATCCTGGCTACACAGGAGTTGCAGCGGTGGGAATAGACCTGTACTAATGTGTATGTATGTGTAGCTGGAGGCAGAGCAGACGGCAGCGAGTTTGGGGGCGGCGGAGCACGACGCATTATTGCTGCATGGAGACATGGAGCAGGCGGACCGCAACCAGGTCATCACGGCCTTCCGCCGCCGCGACAACGATATACTTGTCGCCACCGACGTCGCTGGTGCGTATGACATGCTTCACATCGTAAAAACATGTTTCGTTATCTACCTTCGCTTTTTAAGCGTCTCCACCCAGCCAGGCTAGGATGCACGCCGTGATAAAATCTTATCAATTATTTTAGACGATAAATGATGCGATAAAAGCTTATCGCGGCGCGCATCCAAGGCTTACTGGTCATCACGGCCTTCCGCCGCCGCGACAACGATATACTCGTCGCCACCGACGTCGCCGGTGCGTATGACATGTTCTACTGCGTAATTAATGACATGAGTTTTGTCACCCTTTTTTGTGCGACTGGAAAATTCACCCAATGGCCTGGGGGAACCAATGGGTTATGTGGGACTCTCTCTGTTAGGAGAACAGAGCCTTCCCACTAAAAACCAATCACCAAAAGGGGCACGACACGACGCGAGTCAAAAGAACCCACGCTACTGCCACAGCCTCTCCCTTAAATTGTGCGAAAGGTGTCTTCAACTTCAACCAGGTCATCACGGCCTTCCGCCACCGCGACAACGATATACTCGTCGCCACTGACATCGCTGGTGCGTTTCTTTTTATGTTTACTGCCTCGTTAGTTTCGGGCAAATGACGTCCACTGCTGGACAAAGGCCTCCTTCAAGGGTTTCTACAACGACCGGTCCTACGCCACCCGCATCCAGGCACCTCCCGCGACCGTCACCAGATCGTCGGTCCACCTAGTGGGGGGCTTGCCCACACTACGTCTTCCGGCTCTGCTGCCTTCGCTTTTTAGTTGAGTCGTCCACGTGAAGGCCTCTGTCATGGATTTTCAATTGGAGTTTCCTTGATTGCGCTCACCAGTCGCGAGTCCATACTAGAAAGGACTATTCCTGTCACTTGCTTGTGGTTAAAACAGTGGCCCCAACTGGTGAGCGCTGAAGAAGTAGGATGTAGGCATCACATATTTCTCAATCACCAGTTTGCGTCACGGGCGAGTCATAGGACCTTACTCGACAGTGGCGTCAACCTGGTTATGGAATGGCTATAGGAATGTTTAGATACGGTAATACTATCTATACAGTATTCCAACTCGGCCATATTTTTTAAATAAATGTCAACAGCCCCGCGGTACGTCACGGTATGACAACATGCGATAGGGCTGCTCACCTATAGTACCCATTCAAATTACATCTGTCTACTTAGAATTTCTATCTAGTTTTGTGATTGTAATTTTTTTTTATTTAGACAAACAAAATACTTTGTGAATGGAATAGGATAAAAATACGGGTTGTTTTGTGATTAGTAGATTTAATTTAAAAAAAATATACTAAAATAATTTTGAATCTACTAATCATAATGACCTGTTACTTTAATTTCAGGCTGGCGAAGTCGTGGGCCAAAGCTGGTTTTATACAATATAATTTTCATTTCAAATCAAACTGACTGAAAATTACCATATCTGACAGTTAATGACTAGTTTTTGACAAATTTGATCGTTTAGTCGGTCGGTTGACGGTCAGTCAAATTCAATTACCGTAGTCATTTTCAACACTAGGCCATCGACGTCCGTTCGGCACATTCGCGACACCCCTAACTTTTGGATCTCGACCACGTCCCGTGATTTGAAATTCGAAGGAAAACTCGCGTTTCGTCGGTTTATATGAAGTTACAATACTGTATGATATTATTATCGTGGTTTAGACCTTGTTAAATCGGACATATCATTTGTGTGAGAAGGACCTATTACATTTTTGAATTTCGAATTTCTCTAGCGCGCGGTCTGGACATCCCTCACATCCGCACCGTCATCAACTACACGGTAGCGCGCGACATCGATACTCACACGCATCGCGTGGGCCGCGTGGGCCGCGCCGGCGTGCGCGGCGACGCCTACACGCTGCTCGACCGCCACCGCGACCGCGACTTCGCTGGACACTTGCTGCGGAACTTGGAGGGCGCACAGCAGGTAAATAGACACAGTGGCTGTAGCAAGAGACAGGGGAGCCACAGTGGCTTTCTACACGATGCTCGACCGCGGCCGCGACTTTGCTGGTCACAGGTATGTAGCTACAGTGGCCATAGTGGCCATAGCAAGAGGCTGGAGAGCCACAGTAGCCGCCTACACACTGCTAGAGTGCCACAGTAACGCTGCAGTCGCGCTACTAACGCCCTAATGTGAAAGCGCTCTTAGAGTGCTACAATAACCGCGACATCGACACGCACACGCACCGCGTGGGCCGCGTGGGCCGCGCCGGCGTGCGCGGCGACGCCTACACGCTGCTCGACCGCCACCGCGACCGCGACTTCGCTGGTCACTTGCTGCGGAACTTGGAGGGCGCGCAGCAGGTAAATAACCACAGAAGCTGCCCCATAGCCACCGCCTATACGTTGCTAGAGTGCTACATTGACCCCGCCCACACGCCGCTTGAACGCCACCGCGACCGCGACTTCGCCGGACTTCTACGTATGTAACCTACCCATAGTGACTGTAGCAAGAGACAGGGGAGCCATAGTGGCCGCCCACACACTGTTAGTGCCACAGTAACCTCGACATCGATACACATATACACTGCGTGGGCCGCGTGGGTCGCGCCGGGTTGCGTAGCAAGAGACAGGGGAGCCACAGTGGCTGTAGCAAGAGACAGGGGAGCCACAGTGGCTGTAGCAAGAGACAGGGGAGCTACAGTGGCTGTAGTAAGAGACAGGGGAGCCACGGTGGCTGTAGCAAGAGACAGGGGAGCCACAGTGGCTGTAGCAAGAGACAGGGGAGCCACAGTGGGTGTAGCAAGAGACAGGGGAGCCACAGTGGCTGTAGCAAGAGACAGGGGTGCCACAGTGGCTGTAGCAAGAGACAGGGGAGCCACAGTGGCCGCCTACACACTGCTAGAGTGCCACAGTAACCTCGACATGATACTCACACGCACCGCGTGGGCCGCGTGGGCCGCGCCGGCGTGCGCGGCGACGCCTACACGCTGCTCGACCGCCACCGCGACCGCGACTTCGCTGGACACCTGCTGAGGAATCTGGAGGGCGCACAGCAGGTAAATAGCCACAGTGGCTATGGCAAGAGGCTGGGGAGCCACAGTGGCCATAGTAAGAGGCTGGAGAATCACAGTGACCACCCACAAACTGCTAGAGTACCTACCACAGTAACTTCGACGCGGCGACGCCTACACGCTGCTCGACCGCCACCGCGACCGCGACTTCGCCGGACACTTGCTGCGGAACTTGGAGGGCGCGCAGCAGGTATACCATAGTGGCTGCCTCATCGCCGCCACACTACTAAAGTGCTATAATGGCCGCCTACACACTGCTCGACCGCCACCGCGACCGCGACTTCGCTGGACATTTGTTGAGAAATCTGGAAGGCGCGCAGCAGGTACGTAGCCTAGACACAGTGGCTGTAGCAAGAGACAGGGGAGCCACAGTGGCTTTCTACACGCTGCTCGACCGCCACCGCGACCGCGACTTTGCTAGTCATTTGCTGAGGAATCTGGAAAGCGCGCAGCAGGTTTGTAGCCACAGTGGCTGCCCCATCGCCACCGTCCCCGACTATACGCTGCTAGAGCGCTTCATTGGCTGTCCTACTCGCTACTAGAGAGTTGCAGTAGCCGCCTACATGCTGTTCGATCGCCACCGCGACCGCGACTTTGCCGGACATTTGCTGAAGAATTTGGAGGGCGCGCAGCAGGTATGTAGCTACAGTGGCCACAGCATGAGGCTCGGGAGCCCCGTAAAAGCGGCTTTGCCGGCCACCACTAGTCCAGTTTACAGGTCACCCAGTAATTTCGTGTGATTTGGTATGAAATCGTCATCTCAAAGACCTGTAATCTCTAACATTTGTTCGATAGTTCTTTCTTTATGGTGTACACCAGTGTCATTTATGACCGTGACAATATCGAGACCAAAAATTCTGTTGAAAACTATTTTCGAAAAATATATTTTTAAGTATAAAGTTTGCATTTATAGTGCCGAGTTGTAAACCAAATAAAATATTTCTTTCTTTAATGTGTTCTAGGAGGTGCCAGAAGAACTCCTAAACCTGGCGATGCAGTCAGCATGGTTCCGCAAGTCGCGTTTCAAGAAAGGCAAGGGCAAGAACCTCAACGTCGGCGGTTGCGGCTTAGGGTGAGTTGAAATGTGTTATTATGACGTCATCTGTCATGTCAATGAGTCACGACAATTTAGCACACGAGAGAATTCGACCCGGACCACTCAATCCCGTCAACTCGACTTCATGACAACTTAGGGCTGATTTTTCAATCGTCGGATAACTTTTAACTTGTGACGCGAAGAGTAAGTTTGGCACATTGACAGTTTTCCTATGGGAAATATGTCAAAATGACAAGGTTATTCTTCAGTTAAAAGATATCTGACGATTGAAAAATCAGCCCTTAATCTTATAATGTGCTTCAAATTTGCTCCATTGAAGCCATTAGACAGAATAATAATAGACCCCTGACAATTCGCCCGCGATAACTCGACTTCCGAATGTTTGACTCCTGGCAACGGCCCCTCCCGACAACTCGACCTCTGACAACTAAACCCTGATTACTCAACTATGAAAACTTAATCCCTATTTGTCTCTTTTCTGTCAATAAACGTAATTTGTGGTATCTGAATTGAATTCATATGCCGGTACTTCCAAGTTGAAAGCAGTGACTCATAGTCTATGCTTTTATGTGATTTATGTGGCTAAAACTTCCGAAAAAGAAAGCCACAAACATATTTTTTTGTAGGTACAAAGAGCGGCCAGGCCTGCCGCAGCACAACGACGACGCGCCCAGCGCGCCCGCCGGGGGGCCCGCCGAGCGGCCTGCCGGGGGGCCTGCTACCGACCGCCTGGCCTCGCTCAAGCAGGCCTTCCGCTCGCAGTATAACCAGGTAAGACGGAAAAGAGACAGGGAGAGGAAGCGGGAAGGGACGATGTTATGACGGAGACAACGCAGCTCGGCATAGATTTTATCGAATGTCAATGATGACAGCTGTCAATTCACCTGTCAATTTACCAACGTAATAACGTGAAACGTAAATAAATATGTATCTATTGTTGTTTTGGAATTAAATGGTCACTGATTGAAATTTGATAGATGTCGTGAAGTTTGAAAAATTGTCTATTACAAAACGTCTTATACTTTTTACAGTCATTATTTATAGTTACTAGTTCGCGCCACTGGCGAGGGGCAAATCTTTACTCGTCAATAGCGCGAACTGGTGAGCGCAAATACACCTCTCGAATCTCATTGTCTTCATAACTTCAAAATTTTGACGGTTGTTTCAATTGCCCTGTCCTCTCCAGGTCATAGCATCCTCTGACCACTCGTGAGAGTACGCTACAGACGATTCATAATTAATTTTATAGTTTTAAATAAACCAATGGTTTAGTTTATTTCAATAAACCTGTTCATTGCAGTTCACGGCGTCGTCCGACCACTCGTGGGAGCAGACGCTGCAGAGCATCCAGCCCGGGGTCAACGCCCCCGCCGCGCCCGACGACCGCGCTGAGCGAGTCCGCAAGAGTGGCAAGCGCAGCCGCTGGGAATAGTTATAGCATAACAAGTCACGATGTTTTGTTTTGGACTTTAATTACTAGGCAATAAAGTTGAAAATTGTGTGTTAATTATGCGCAAGAGTGGCAAGCGCAGCCGCTGGGAATAGTCGCACAGTAGGCAGGGACTTTATCATTAGGCAATAAAGTTTAAAATTGCTTATTTAACCCGTCGCGTGATTCAGTTGTTTCTTGAGCGCGTGCGCAAGAGCGGCAAGCGCAGCCGCTGGGAATAGATATAGCACACCAAGTCGCAATGTTTTGTTTTGGACTTTATTATAAGGCAATAACGTTGAAAATTGTGTGTTAACCCGTCACGTCTCCCTGAGCTAGCGAGTCCGCAAGAGTGGCAAGCGCAGCCGCTGGGAATAGTTATAACATAACAAGTCGCAATGTTTCATTGATTTTGAACTTTAATTACTAGGCAATAAAGTTGAAAATTGTGTGTTAACCCGACGCGTGATTCAGTTGTCACCCTAAGCGTGTGAGACCACAAGAGCGGCAAGCGCAGCCGCTGGGAATAGTCGCATTAAAGGCATGATACGTCACAATTTGTAATTATTTTGGACCTTATCATTAGGCAATAAAGTTTAAAATATTTGGGGGGAGGATCGCTCCGGGTGCCAACCCATGCTACGCCGCCACTGCACACAGCTAGCGACCGCATTGCGACTGTATCGATGCGAACGCGCGACAGAATCACTTCGCTACTGCATCGCTACAAAAAGTCGCCGTGGGCGAGGGGCCTCAGTTTTCTCCCTGAGCTAGCGAGTCCGCAAAAGCGGCAAGCGCAGCCGCTGGGAATAGCCACGGTAAAGGCATACCAAGTCGCAATGTTTTGTTTTGGACTTTATCATCAGGCAATAAAGTTGAAAAAATGTGTGTTAACCCGTCGCGCCATTCAGTTGTCTCCCTAGCGAGCGAGTCCGCCACAACAGACAGGCGCCAAGTCACAATATTTCATTGTTTTGGTCCTTATCATTAGGCAATAAAGTTTAATATGTGGTAATTATATTCCCATTGCTTGATTAAGCCGTCGCGCAATTCAGCGGGGTTACTCCGAAAAACGTTATCCGAAGTTGCCATCCCTCTCACGCAAAGCGAGGTGCCAGTATGAGCGACGGTGACAGATATACCCTGAAGAAACTACGTAAACAGCCCTGCAGCACAGAATAAGTAATAGTACAGGTNAACACACAAAACGTCCTAGTTTAGTAACCCCACCTTTCCGTTGAATTGCCCACGCTTGCGCCTACCTTTGGGGGGACTTCTCCCCTATCGTCAGCCAGCCCGTTTAACTTCTATCCTGACCCAATTTTGCTGGAGGATACCGGAAGAATAGAAGGAATTGTGAGAAACAAAACTAGTGCGATAAGTGTTTAGAGTAGTGAAAATTGACGCAGTTTTTTGGTAAAACGACAGTACAACTCCAGATCCCCCCTTTGCTAGATATTTTATAAGTCGCGGGTACCTTTTCATACACTCCCAACCCTTTTCTTATGAAAATAGTAGATAGTTAATCAAATAATCAAATTAACGATTAATGATTATGATTAATTAATCTTAATCAAAATCAAAATCATTAACTAATCATAATAAAAAAAAAATGATTATGATTTTAATCATTAATTTTTAATCATTAATCAGATTAACTTTTTGCCAACACTGTTTTGGACCTTATCATTAGGCAATAAAGTTTAAAATTGTGTGTTAACCCGTCGCGTCATTCATGAGCAAGAGCGACAAGCGCAGCCGCTGGAAATAGATATAGCACACCAAGTCACGATGTTTTGTTGATTTTGACTTTAAACGTTAGGCAATAAAGTTTAAAATATTTGGTAATTATTGCTTGGATGGTGAACCGGCTGCGTGATTCAGTTGTCTTCTTGAGCGAGCGCGTGCGCAAGAGTGGCAAGCGCAGCCGCTGGGAATAGATATAGCACACCAAGTCACGATGTTTCATTGATTTTGAACTTTAATTACTAGGCAATAAAGTTGAAAATTGTGTGTTAACCCGTCGCGTCATTCATGCGCAAGAGTGGCAAGCGCAGCCGCTGGGAATAGCCTCGCTAAAGGCATGCTATTGGACCTTATCATTAGGCAATAAAGTTTAAAATTGTGTTAACCCATTGCGTCATTCAGTTGTTACCCTGAGCGAGCGCATGCGCAAGAGCGCGTTATTAGTGAAAACCCTAGTAATAATAAAAGTTAAACGTCAAAGTAAATTCAGGGATATTTTTTATTTAGATCACGTGATAGTCGTATTGCGCGCGAAATATTGGCGGGTGCAGTGCGCTTATTTTTTTTTTTTTTTTTTTTATGTGACAAGAGGCAAACGAGCAGACGGATCACAGACAGCTTAGCACAATTACAATAAATAGTGTATTGCACTAGGGCTTTTGTTTCGCAAAAGGACGCCGATACGATAAGTAAATTGTGAACTTTTTGAACCTTATGGTGTGGACATAAAGTCTGAAATCCATAAGATTTTTTTCATATTGTGGCAGGTTATACTCGTTCATCGATCAATATTATCATAGTGCTAAGGTTGCACTTAGAATAATGTACTATGAGCTAAGTAAATCTACAGGGTGTTAGGTAAATGGGTATACGAGCCGACACTAGCCCATGTTAACATAGGCATATAAATGGTATGGTGAAGTCAGAAATTTGATATCATGATTTAATTTTTTTTAATTTTCATACAAAATAAATTTTACAAAATCCGATTTGTATGAAAATTAAAATAGTTAAAATGAAGATATCAATTTACTGACTTCACCATACCCTTTATATGACCATGTTAACATGGGCTAGTGTCGGCTCATATACCCATTTACCTAACACCCTGTATATCTATGATATTATTCCTGTGCTAAAATATTAAAATAATGCGATGATAGTTCGGATAGTTAATTGTCAATGTCTATAGTGACAGCGAGTCCTTTTTGTTTTTTTTATAATAATAAGCGTTTTAATTAATATGTATAAATGATAAATGTTAAGTGTGTATAAAAGATGTCTGGTTTTACATGTTGTTTGCTTAAATGATAACTTATTTAAGACACAGATTGTATCACTGTTTTACCTTTGATCTTTTCTGTCAAACTTTAATAGCTATGTAAAGAAGTACACAAAACGGAGTGAAAACAAATATGTGTGGAATTAGTGTGTCATTCGCCGAGGTTGGTGTGGAGCTTAAAACAAGGTGTGGTTACTGCCAGAGAATACAATTTTGACTTGTATGTATTTCGCTCACTTTAAAAAATGAGGGTTATCGTATTTGCGCTCATCAGTTAGCGCCACTAGCGAGTAAAGTCACTCATCCGCCAGTAGCTATTACATTGGCGCCAATTGGTTAACGATCATGCGATAGGTAAAGTAACGTATGTATTTTCAATCATCAGTTGGCGCCACTAGCGAGCAAGCTCCACTCATCCGCTAGTAGCTATTACAGTGGCGCCAACTGAAGCATGATCATACGATAGAAGGAAATTGAAGAAATATCGTATTTCCAATCGCTAGTTGGTGCAACTGGCGAGTAAAGTCCACTTATTCGCTAGTGTTAATATATGGCGCCAACTGGTGCACGATCATACGATAGAAGGTATATAGTATTTTTAATGGCCAATTGGCGCCAAATAAGGTAGCCCTGATAGATTGGTAAATACGTTCACTCAGTTTCACGCCTTGCCTTGAAACCCCTGCCAATTTTTTCCATACCGTGGCATTAGTTTTATGTGAATTATAAAAGATAATACATAGATCTTGTTAATAGGCCATGTGACCAGCTAGTTTAAGCTCCAGAAAGCTTTATTATTATTATTAAAATGTCCGATTTTGTTTAGGACGGGATATGCTCCCGTAAAAGTATTAAAATATGGATTCAAGTCATACTTTCAGTAAATAATAAATGAGTCGTATAGCCTATTAAAATAAAGCAAAAACAATCACGTTAACATTTTATTTTTATATTTAAATGTCAAATATACTAGAGTTGTACGAGTAAATAGATATAAAACACGTTTGTTCGAAGCAATAATATTGTAAAATACACTATTTTTCCTACACCAACGAATGAAATCCTTTTATACAATACCGCTAAGGTATTTTGTTACTAATCCAAGTGCCCCGTAGCTATAAACTCATACAATTTGAATGTCTACTCATACTATGTAAAGTCAGTGCCAATAGAATTTGCCAATCTTGTAAAATATGATAAAATTGATATGAAATAAATAGGTAATAAAGCCAGATGCGCCCCTGAAAAATAACCTCATAAGGGTCCTCGCCCACGGCAACTAACGCGCATTAGTCGCATTTGCAACGCACTAGAAGTGACGCTAACGCGCTACTAACGCGCTACATCGAGAAAAAGCGAGGGCCCTAAGTTGTATTGAAGCGGGTGGGAGGGGTATTGTGTTTCGGTTACTTGAAATGCCGCGGACGTGTATACCGTGACTGCTCTGTTACGTCACACAATACCCCTCCCGTACCACTCCACTACAGAAACCTACACAGTTATGCTCTATGCCTTGAGATCAAGGCAAGGTGTATGTAACTACATAGACTGGTAGAATCAGGGTACGTACCTATCTTCACCATATTGATGTAGCGTACAGGCAAACGCTGAAACGCATCCCAAATTAAAATGAAGTAGGACTTTCCTTGTCTTGAAAGAAATAAAGGAAGGAAAGAAAGAGACAAACCAACCGCTCATTGCTATGTTAGTCGGCGTTATTTACAAGATTGCCAGATTCTATCAGGGTTCTGTACAGCGTGTCAAATACTGAGTGGTTATTAAAAATCTTTGTTTGAAATGGAGTGAACGATTGTATGTAAATTAATTCATATAATCTGTAAATAGAAATAAATTATATTTAAGGTTATTCCGTGTTTTTTTTATCACACAACCTTTAAAACGTGAAGGAATTTATCAAACGCGCCAGCCTGCCAAAGATTAACTTTTATGTTTAACTACACGCTAATTAAAAATGTTTTCCAGTTGAGACAAGCAAAACGAGATACTTGACACGACACTTGATGCAGATCTCTAATAATAAACAAAATAATTCGTTATAACATAACACACAATCAATCTCCAGTCACTGAAATATTAGAAAGAAAGAAAAACATTTACAGAACATCACACACAAAAATTGCGGGTTACGACTTTACGATGCCTATAATCGTTCGCAATCAACCGCGATTGTAAACGATTACTGCCGTGGAATCGAATGATCATTCGATATGAAGCGCGTTAACTGCCACTCCACACGGCACACTCTGATTGAGTTGTGAACTGAATTAAAAGAGCTTTCATGAAACTGGTGGACGTAGCCATTTTCGTGATTGCTATAGCAAATAGAGCTGGTGTGATGCTATACAGGGTGGAATTTTGTAATGCCACCTGGAGGGAAAGTACTCTTAATATACTGTACCTAGACAGAAAAATTTTACTGAAAGAAAACATTCTTCATTTTTGAAAAGAAAGAGAACTGCATTGAAAGATTTCCAAAAATTTGCGTGCCACACCCGGGAATGGAACCAACTAAAATCTGTTAAAAATTACACCTGTATTTTTATTACATTGATCGTTAGGGTTTAAAAAAAATGTTTTCTTTGAGAAAAAAATTCTATCTATAATATTAAGAGTACTTTTCCTCCAGGTGGCATTACAAAATTCCATCCTGTATAGTCTTATGTGCTGTCGATTGTAACTTACCAAGCACAAGCTTAGGTTCGCAAGGATTTCTGTCTGTTATGGAAATTATATTGTGAGAGTTCTTAGACTAGAAACATGGTCGTATAGGTACTAAACCCTTGACTAGATATTTAATAGAAAAAAGCACAAACTTAAATTTCGTCGAAATATGTAAACAAACAGCATGTTCGCTTGCAGTACCTATTATGTATGATAATCGGGTGCAAATGATGGTGAACTATAAACTATGTAAATACATACAGGCAAGTCACAAGCAGGTACCTACTATCCTTTCGCTTTAGGTTTGCCGCTGGCGATATGACGTCACTCGAAGGGAAGCGCCTATAACTTTTATTTAAAATATTTTTATTTATTGATAAAAAATGTGTATTTGCGTAAAATAAGATACATTATTTGCGTTTAATCGCGGTTGGCGGAGGGTACGCGCTTCCACGGGCCGGCAAACTTAGCGCGAACGGGTAGTAGGTAGGTATATGCGAATGCGTACGGTGAAGAGCACATCAAGCTACGTTTTAATTTGCATTCATACTTTTCTCTTTGATACAATTAATGCCACACTGTGCACTACAAAATGTTAAAGACAGCTACCAAATTTTTACTCTATTAGATAAACTGATTCTCACCTCTGATCCTAGGTAGCTTCCATAATGCAAAGTCAGCTGTTCACAAACACAGGCAGTCACTTTCTCGTGTGGGCGGTGTGGGTAAGCATAACAAGATAAAATCAAATCGCGAATTAGGCGGACTTCCCACGCGCTGGCAGATCATTATCACTGTAAAGGGGATGGCACAACGTGAACCGGAGGCCTGAAAGTTGACTTTTTCTTATCTATTTAGCAGTAGCTTACGGCAATAACGTGGAAAAAGTCGCCGGAAAAACTAGGTATTATGACTCATCCTGTGTTAATAAGTTGAAAGTAATTTATTCAGCCTTTCGTGACACAAAAAGTAAACGTAAAGTAAAGTAACCAAAAATTTGACGCTGACTGTACCTTAGGTACTTACTAAAACATTCTATTGCTGTTCCTTAACTCAAATTTTCAGGAGCTTTTACAATTAAAATGCTACATTGTAATTCGAATGTAGAGTCCCCTTTACGTGTGTTGTAGGTACATATGTGGTGGCGAAGTTGTTCGGCATAGTTGAACCGTTATCTGATCGCTTACGTGATACAACTCCCAAGTTTTTACAGCACTAATTGCTTCGCCAACTTTCAGGGCCGTTATAAAAAACGCCTTCCCCTCTTTACAAAGTTTTGGCACCTTCAGGATACTTTCTGATGTTATATCTCATTTCTGATATTATTATTTGTTTTTGTTTTTGTTGCGTACTTTTTTGGAAAGATTTGAAAACATTTTGAATCTTTATAATGTTAACTGTGAAGAAAATGTTTCCATGTTTTCCAAAGAGCTTTGAAGAATAGAGAAAGACGGAATCAAGGCACGATAATATTCGCGCTTTGTGTACAAAGCGGAAGTGATTTATTGCATTTTCCAGGATCACTAAATCGCAGAAAATATTCAGCTGAAAAACTATCATGGTGTAATAAGAACTCACTTACCTTTTTGCAGCGGCAAGAGATGAGCACGGACTGACGAAGATCGCCTTCCAGCTGTAACAAATAATAAAAATTGTATGTAAAAATATGTAGTTGGAAAATTATCTACTGGTAAAAATC